ACAGTTGATGAGGACAGTTAAACAGTCAGTTAGTTCGTTCTGAAGTCTGTGAGAGAAGCAGTCTGTGTGTGTGCAGTTAAGAACAGCTGAGGTTGTTCTGAGAGAATAGTAAAATGTAAATGAAAGTAATTGAAGACAAAGTTTAGGAAAGGCTGTATGTCCTGGAGAGAAACAGTGAACTTACATGACCTTGAGTTAAAGTTACAAAGTTACATGCCAAGATCCCTGACAGTGGAGAGAAAAGTATGTGAAATACCCAAAGCAATTGTTTAGTATTTACCCATTCCTAGTTACAGTGTTCTACCATATTATTTACGAATTATATCAATAAATCTACTTTTATTTAAGATACCAGTTCTGAAAGAAATATGTCCCAGGACCACATTAGAACCCTGAAAGCCTAAAAACTGACCTACCTACCCAGTGATAGAAATATTATAGTATAAAGGTTTGGAAAGCCTTAAATTTCCTGGTGGCAGCCGGATATACACAGTAAAACAAAACAAATAACATTTTAAAGGGAAACCAGACCTCCCCAGATAAGGGGTCGTCACAAGCGTCAACAGGAAATCTGCAACAACAAAGCATTTCTAATGATATACTGGCATCTGGACCACATTCTGACCTAAGTCACTGGCCTTTTTATCCCCTCTTAATTCTTCATCACACTTTCCCCTTTGTTTCCAGGACTTATCGGAGAAGCCAGATGTGATACTTATTGATAACCTCCTCATATGTCAAGGCAATCACATAGACGTCCAGGTTGTTATAGATGCAAGTAGAAAAGATTGAAGTAACAAGATGAACATGGATTTGTGCCTAGAGTAAGGCCAGAATGCTCTTACAATGGTGGATGTTTAAGGAATTATGCTAATAAATGGATAGAATCTTCTGATAAAGAGCATATAAGAATCCCAGCAAGCACTGACTGAAGATGTACTCTTTATTTCTACGAGTATTTGCCAGGTTTTTTTTTCTATCAGCCTTTTCACAATCGCTGACACGTGTCTTTATCACAAGCCTCTGCTTAGGGGTACCTAAACAGCACCCGCGAAGAGGGAGCCGGTCTCTCCCACCTCCAGCCCCCAGCCTCACTCACTGGTAGAAGGAGATGCCCCTCACCCGGTTCAGTTCGCTGTCCCGGGCTATGCAGCCCAGAGCAGAGCAACCCCGAGTCATCGTTCCTACGCTACCTTAAGAGCGAAGAGAGGTAAGAAGAAACGAGGACTGGGCGTCAATCGCAGCTATCGCGAGAGCATATGCCACCAATCGAAGAGACCGAGTTAAACCGCCACCGGCGCTCATAAAAACCGCATCCCGATTGGCCAATTTACTACATCGTCGCTCTTTGTGATTGGCGCTTTCTCTCTCGGAACGTGATGTCTCTTCTCATTGGCCATTCCTCTTTCTGGCTACCTCATTGGGTGACCATTTCCCCTTGTGGTAGAGTGACCAAAGACGTTTGGCGATGAAATTTAGAGAGAAAAGAGTAATAAAACTTGCGGTAAAAGATCGAAAAGGGCCATTTGAAAATGGTTTTCTGCGCAACACGGAAGACTGAAAAAAGCTACTTCCTGTTTCCCTATATTTTATTAGTTATAGTGTATTAAGGTCCTTTAGCATAGATTAAGTTGCCAAATTCTTCTCTCAATCCAGAGAAAATCATTACAACTCCCCTGCCGCCTCCGCCGGGCGCCCCTGAGTTGCTGCTGGGAGACGAGGCCTTGCCACTGGCCTTGCCGCTGGGAGAGGAGGCGCGAGGAGTGGTTTTGCCTCCAGAAGGGCGGGAGAGGCGCTCTTTAAAGAGCCACGGCGCGCCGCCAGCGGGTTCCCCGATGAAAGTCTCCCCGGCCTCCATCCAGGTGAAAGAGATCACTTCATCTGGAGAAAATGGCTGCTTTGGAAGGAGACTCTATGGCACTATGCCCCACTGAAGTCCCTCCCCATCTCTGTCTCCTCCCCCAAAATCTCCAGGTATTTTCCATCCTGGAGTTGGCAACCCTATCAGATAGTCTTCAGGAACCCGTTCCACTTTAGACCGGAAGTGTACGTAAACAACAACGGTGCAAGTGACTTTCTCTATGGGCCTATACGTCACTAGCTCCGCGCCCCCTAGCGAAGGGAAAGCGGAAAGGGCAAAAACCAATTAAAAAATCGACGTGCGGTTGAGCCAATGGGAGCTTGTTCATTGTGACGTTATCCAGAGTTGTCTTTGTTTCCGGTTTCTTGCCGCGTGGATTGAGGAGCCTGCTGGTAGCGTAGGGATGGAGGTGGCTGAAGGGGCGCTGAGTTAGGGGCTTCAGGGGCAAGGGGAGCCTTAGGCTTGCTTATGGGTGGTAGGCCATTTTAATTGCTTTGGGAGGTTTAGTTTTGTCTCCCCCATTTTGGGGGGCTAGTTTTAGATAATGGAGCAATCTTGTTCCGTCTGGCGGGAAGGGTTTGAGGGGCACTCTTGTTTCTATTTTGTTTTTTTATGCCTCACCTTTTCCCCCAATGGGGTCCCAAAGCAGCGTACATCATTCTTCTCCTCCACCATTTATCCTCACAACAACCCTGTGAGGTAGACTAGGCTGAAAGTGTGTGACTGGCCCAAGGTGCCATGTTACAGGTGGGGATTCGAACCTGGGTTTTCCAGATACTAGTCTGACACTTAACCGCTACAACAGACTGGTGAGAGGGATCTCTTATTTCAAGCCTGGGAAGAACCTGTGTCGAAAAAAGTATGTTGATCAAGTGTTGAAGTTTTCAGTATGATTAGCATGATTGAAACACTAGAACTGAATAAATAAGGGTCATATAATCTCTGGTAAGGGGCTTGTGACTCAGAGGCAGGGAACATGTTTTCTGTGAATACAGTACCAGGTTCAATCCGTGGTAGCAGAGAGAGATCTGCTTTTGCCTGAAATCTCAAAGAGAGGGCTGCCAGTTACAGCAGACGATACTGAGCTGGGTGGACCCATTACCTGACTTTTTAAGGCAGTTGCATATGTTGCTGTGTTGTAAGGGAGGGGCCATGGCTCAGTGTAAGGTAGGTTCATGTACCATGAGGTAGTGGGCTATCTGATATGTTTAATGCTGTGTCCGATGATGAAAACCTTTTATTTGCTGTTCACATAATGATGTAATGTGATTAGTATTTGGATTGAGGACATGCAGTTCAAAGGACTAGCCTGTTTGACTTCTTTCTTGTAGCTTATATATGTGCTTTTAAAACCTTTTATATTTCATTTTATTGTAGAGAAAATAACTGCTGAATTTTGTTCCTTAATCCCTTAGGAATTATGCTGTAGCCTGAAATGGGATCCTGGATTTACTGAGGTGAGGCTATTCCACTGAATTGCAACATATTTAAAAGCTCTCTGTTGATCTTGCTTACTAGTGAAGCTGTAAAAATTAGTTTTAACTTTATTTTACTTAAAACGTATTGCCTTACCCCCATAATATCATTGCCATGAAATACACTATGTTCTCATTGGTAACATAGTTCATGACATGGACTTCTCCCACCCATGTGCAAACTGCTCTTTAAGGAAAATTGTCCAACTAGAGTGCTTTTCTACAAGGGTCTAAAATCAGCATTGCTAGGGATTGTTGATGTTCTGTTTCTTCCCTGGTGTCCAATGATTAAAACTCTTCTGCTGTTCACATCATGATTTGCTGTGATTATTGTCTGCTTGGATGAGGACACAGGGTTGTGAAAGCTTGATAGGTCTCTTCAACACCGGTTCAGCCTGGAGATGAGAATACAAAACACTTTGGTGATAAACTGTACAGTGATAAATTGAGAGAATACAAAACACTTTGTTTGGTGATAAACTGTACAGTGATAAATTGTCTTCCATTTTCAGGAATTAAGAAGTCTCTCTAGGATGGCCAAGGTAAACTTGTAATATCTCTTTGGGAAAGCAACAGAAATGAGCTAGTCTGCTCTGTACATGCTTTGGCCCATGCAACAGAACCTGAACTGAGGTAGTGCACCTGGTGTGGTCAATAAAAAGTACTTAGGGCAGTTATAATTGCAGCTATGTCCATGTTTGCCTGGTGAACGCACTGTTGTCTTCTGCTCTGTTCACCGGTCTCAGTTTTATCCTGCCCTTCCTCCAGAGAAGGCAGAGGATTATACAGAATTCTCTCATTTCATCATTACAACAACCTTGTGAGATAGGTGAGGCTGAGGCAGTGACATCATGGCTGAGTGGGGACCTGGGCCTCCATTCTAACCACTGCTCCACACTGGGTTGGAACCTACCAGCTTTTCTGCTGGAGAGATAGGGAAGAGAGGCTCATTTTTGACTACCGAAATGCTATGCTGGCAATCATGGAGCTTGCATGGCTGAAGGGCTGTAGAAAGTGGAGAAATTTGGTAAGATTGAGTGAAAAAGCTGGCTGGATCCAGCCCATTATATAAACAAGACATAGAGCTTTCTTATTTATCTGTGCATACTTCATATTTCACATTATCACCTCGTGTTTGCAGAGGATATGGTAGCCTGCTTACTAGGGCATGCCTCAGTTGAGCAGCCCATCTTTTCGGGATAGTTGCAAATTGGCTGTATAAAGTATATGAATAGGTGGTAAATGGGCATTAACGTTCTTCTAGGAATATGTTTTACATTGTTTGTCTCCGTTGTAAAAAACTTCCAGAGAAAGGGTTTACTGTATATATTGCATTTACACCCTGGCTCTGCAGGGTTGTACTTAACTTCATAAGTTGGACTGAATCATGTACGTTAAGACTATTTGCTGAATTCCCCCCCCACACACACTCTTAAAAGGAAACTGCCTGCTACACAGGACTATACAAATGCTAACAAAACAATAACAAATGTTGGTATAGGAGTTGGAAACAAATTATTGAGATCTTGAAATGTTTGTAATCTGTTTTATTTGCTTTGCAGATCTCTGGAGTATGCCATCTTTAAGTTACTTCTCACTCATCCATTTACTTGGAAGATCTGGTAGACAAGTTTCTTTGCAAAAAGGGGACACCTTTGAAATTGCCTAATTTAGCAAGAACACTTGTATATTTGGGCAGAGCTCTGTCTGTGGTATTCTTCATATTGCTTTTACCTTGTTTGTAATAATAAATGTCTATTTTAACTTTGAATGAAATCTTGGCTCTTGTGGCTTGGTTTTTATTTTATACATAAATGATGCAGAGCTGGTGTTTCAAAACACTAAATAAATTTTACTTAAAACTATTATTATTCCAGTTTTAGAACAGTTAAGGGAGTCTATTCAAATTATTTTGTACTGGGTTTTAAACTTAGGTTTTCAGGGTGCTTCAAAATACCTGCTGGATCCTGCAGTCTCTTAAGTAATGAAGGCTAAACATGGCTTCCATTCCATAATATCACCAGAATCTTAGCAATTTTATTTCAATGGTCTGGAAAGTGAAACCGAATAGTGGTGGCTTCTGTATTAATCCTGGAGGGGAGTTAAAATAATCTAGAGTAATCTAGTTAAAATAATCTAGAGTAAAATTCAGTAGCACTTTAGAGATGGATGAGATTTTTTGGGGGGAGGGGGAAGAGCTTTCACGGGTCAAAGCTCCCTTCATCAGGTGCTACCGGACTCCAAGCTAGCTCTTCTACTGCAGACCAACACTGCTACTCTCAGAAACGATGCTGAAAGGTTTTTTCCTTATATTACCCTCACATCAAGGGTGGTGTTTTATGTTATGCCCTTTATTCTAGCAATCCATTAAGCAAGTTCTTTTAACATAGTCACCTCCAGAGGAGGTTTAGACCCAAAGCCAGTAATACCTTGCCAAAGTCCACACAATAATTATGGCTCTGTGCAGCCTTAGGGAGTGAGTATCAGTAAGACTACCAATCACAGTTGGTCAGGGTGCGCCCTTCAGGAGGAAGCCTTGGCTAGAAGGTATGCCTGCAGCTACTGACTATGACAATAAAGGAGGAAAGCCTTCAAGCTTGCCCCTCTTCCCCATATTTTTCAAGCCCCCCACCTGATGAGTTCTGGAGAAGCAGAAACCTTGCACCCCTTTGTGTCACTTTTGTTGGTCCTGAATAAAAGATGATGTGGCTGTTGTGTTTGGGTTTTGCTTTGATGTGACTACTGGCAGCTTCATGCTAGCTTCATGCTTTCCAGAAATTCAGCATAGGAATGGCGTACGGTTGCCAGGTACCCCCATGGCCACTGTCAGGGGTGTAGGGTTACCAGATCCAGGTTGGGAAATTCCTGGAGATTTGGGGATGGCGCCTGGGAAGGACCTCAGTGGGGCACAATGCCATGGAGTCCACCCTCCAAAGCAGCCAATTTCTCCAGGGGAACTGATGTGGGCAGTCTGGAGATGAGCTGTAATTCCAGGGGATCCCCAGTCTCCACCTGGAGGCTGGCATCCATAGAATGGCAGGAGGGAGAGAAGAGACCATTGTGCTCCAAGAAAGGGAAATAGCTTTTAGTCTCGGCTCACATGGGGACGAAAACTTGGGTTTTTCAAAAATGGTGTCAGCCCCGCTCTTTATACCTTAGGGATGGGTGGTAGTGGCCCATACTGGCAACTCTAGCCCAGTAAATTCCTGGAGACTTAAGGGTGAGGCCTGCAGAGGGGGAATTTGGTGAAGGGTTTTACCTAAAACCTAATGTCTAACATAAAGCCTGTGCTCTGAAGCTGCCATTTTCTCCAGGGGAGCAGGAACCGTAGTCCAGGGATCAGCTGGAATTCCAGGAGAATTCCAGGTCCCACCTGGAGGTTGGTATGGCCTACTCAGAGCCTCTGGAAAGGCGCTTCACACACACTCGGAAGCAGTATTCCCTCTAAGCTGAGTCGGTGTGAGCTAGCTCACAGTTTTTTAGCCTTCAGCTCACACATTTTTTGTCTTGGCTCAGGAAGGAGGGCTCCAGAGCAAACTGATTTATGCAGTAGCCAAATCGCTTGCTCACAGCTTTAATGCCAGTAGCTCACAAAGTAGAATTTTTGCTCACAAGGCTCCACAGCTTAGACTCCACATTGCTCGGAAGTACTACTGCCCCATATCTGGAGATCAGTTGGAATTCCAAGAGAACGCCAGTTCCCACCGGGAGGCTGGCAACCCCAGGTGGCCTGCCGAGAGCCTCTGACTGGAAATGCGCTTCACATATGCTCAGAGGGACCGCTGCCCCTAATCTTGGAGATCAGGTGGCCTTCCAGGAGAACGCCAGTTGTTCCCACCTGGAGGTCGGCAACCCTGCGGGTGTGGCCTACTCAGAGCCTCTGACTTGTCAGCGGACAGGCGCTTCACACACACACACTCAGAGGCAGCGCTGCCCCTACTACTAGTAGGGCCTCGACTTGGGAGTTGTTTCAGGCGGACGGGGCCCGCTCCGACGCCGCCCCCGCGCCGGCCGCTCCTCTCCATTCCTTCTCCTCCCAGGCAGGCCCTGCCCAGTCGGCGGGCGGGCGTCAGTTTGGCCCGGAAGCCGGCGGAATGGAGGCGGCGCTCCGGTTGCCACGTTGAAGCGGAACGTGGAGGCGCCTCCGGCCCTGGGAGAGGACGAGGAGGAGCTGCAGCCGGCAGGCCGCGGCAGGGAGGTCACCGGAGACCCCGGCGACAAACACCCCGGACAGGTAAAGGGGTGGAAGAAAAACCGGGCCGGTTACCCTTCTCCTCCCCCCCGGCCGGGCCGGGTTTGCAGGGCCGCTTCCCTTCCCTTGGCCACGGGCGGACGCCGAGGCTCCCTCCTCCTCCTCCACCACCATCTCCCTCTCCCTTTGCATCTCCCTTCTCCTCCTGTGCAGCAGCCCCAGCCGGGGGGCCTTGGGGGCTTCTTATGCTGCGCAGGGTTGCTCTGCTAGCTTGGCTTTTTGGAGTGAGGGGGCGTCCGAGGGGCTTTGTCTTTCCACGAGGCCGGCTCCCACCCTTGAGCGAGGCAGCAGGGAAGAGCAAGAGCCCAGGTAGCACACCTGGAAGACTGGCATCCATAGAATGGCAGACTAACAAAAAGTGGGGCAGGGGGGACTGAGGCTTGGGGAGCCCCGGCTCACTTCTCCGGGAGAGGGATTTGATCCTCGGCTCTGCAGAGGCTCCCGCCCCGCCCCAGATTTCGCTAGTCTTTCAGGTGCTGCTGGACTCCTGCTCTTTTCCGCGGCAGCAGACAGACTAACAGGGCGACCCATTTTGATCTGTCCTAAGCTGCACCGTGCAGGGCTTGGCCAGGAGGGAATCCCTCCCTGCGGGCCCGCCGCCAAGTCGTGAATAATAAGAAGTTGGCTCAGAGGCCTTTTTTGCACTTAGAACTGGCTTTCTTCTCTTCCCCCCTCCCCCATTTCTGGCTTCATGGAGGTGGGGGAGTTGCTTGGGGTCTCAGAGAAAATGGAAAGGGGTGCTGGGGGGGGGCTTCCGACCCCTCTGAAATTAATCAGGCTGACCGCAAATTATCTCTCTTGCTCGTGTGCTTAGAAGCTTGCAATCTATGGGCTGCCGGTATCATGTTTATTTTGTGCGAGTAAATCTGGAGCAGCTTCTAACCCAGCTACATATTTACACGGACTAAAAATAGATTCCTATCCCTGCTTGGTTCCTTCCTAACCGTGAAATGATAGGCTGGCTAAGGTACACCCTCTTGTGTATCTCTTAAACACAGGGAAGTGGGTACCGGGCAAGTAGGGATGCCAGCCTCCAGGTGGGACCTGGGGATCCCATAAGAACATTAAGAACAGAAGAGAAGCCAGTGTTGGGTCAGGCCAATGGCCCATCCAGTCCAGCACTCCCTCACACAGATTACAACTTGTCTCTAGACCCCCCCACCCCCCCCCCCCCCCCCCCGCCCCGGCCAAGAGGGACCTGGCAAGTCTAGGGGCAAGCAATGTGCATGAATGTCTTGAAACTCATAGTACCATAAATTTAGAGTCCAGTGGCACCATTAAGGTTTATTCAAGGTATGAGTTTTCATGTGCACACATAGATAACTTTTAGTCCTCACTCAGTGTACCTTAAAATACCGCACATTGCCACGACTTGATTTTTACACTAAGCCTCCTCACATATACACACACTGCTAAGATATTCGTAGGTATTTTTAATAGCATGGGGAGTTGCCGGTTCAAGTATCTCCTATGGAAGGTTACACTTTTGCTCAGGAGTCATTAATTCTGAATGGTAAGATCAACTACCATTCTTTGGGTACACCGCTAAGATATTTGTAGGTATTTTTAATAGTAACATGGGGAGTTGCTGGTTCAAGTATCTCCTATGGAAGGTTACACTTTTGCTCAAGATTCTTTAATTCTGAATGGTAAGATCAACTACCATTCTTTGGGTCCATACTCAAGACCATTCAATGCAAATTGCTGGCTAATGCCCTCCAGTTGTTCTCTAGGCTTCACTGTAGGAATGGTAGAAGTGGAACAGTGGGATCCCCCCTCCCAGCCCCATGCATGTAGAGGGTGTGCTGATGAATGGGGGCTCCTAATCCATGTTAATGGGAAAATGGGGAGGATGGTCATTATTTGGGGTTAATTAAGATAAAGTTCTAGAGCAGAGGTCCATCAGTGGCTATTAGCCACAAGGTATAGATAGGGACTCTGGGGCAAGTGATGCTCTGTCATCTTGGTGCTTGGGGGGGGGTCAACAGTGGGAGGGCTTCTAATATCCTGGCCCCACTGGTGGACCTCCTGATGGCACTGGTACTTCTGGCCACTGTGTGATACAGAGTGTTGTACTGGATGGGCCTTTGGCCTGATCCAACATTGGCGTCTCTTATGTTCTTATGTTCTTAACGTGGTCCTATGTCAGTGGCACTGGTTCTGTATTCCCAGTTGCTAACATAGATTGCAGTCCCTGTCCAAGCTGGCATTCCT